TGGGTTACAGGAAGTGGGATTCGAGTACTTTACGATTTCACTATTGGACACTTGAAACTCTCGGATGTAACGAGACGTGCTTACGCGAACTAACGCCCACGCCGTGCCGAGACGTACAATCTAAACAATATTTCAACTTAATGTTCAGGTTTTCGTGGACAAAAGTGTCCGCCTTGTCTCCTTTATCGGCGTCGCTTCGCGCTGACGGTGCTACGATGATGCGAACTAGTCTCAGACAATTCATATAAAAACAAATTTATAAAATTATAAAATTTCAAACGATACCAAAGGCTCCTCAACTCGATTCGTAAATGTATATTTATTTTGAGAAGAAACATAATTACGAAAACAATGATTACAGACCGCTGCGAGATTGGTAGATTTTTGTTCGATAAAGGCTGAACTCGCGCTTGTACCAACGCGCACCGTCGTTTGAAAAATCCGATGAAAATACAATCGAACGATTTTTTCGCGATCAAACTATGCCGGATTGGATCAAGAGGCGGCTTTTTTTATTTTCAACGACTATTTTCGTTTCAGACACGCCTCTGTCACCGATGGGGCCGTCGTCGCCGAGTCAGGAGGGTCTATTCACGGATCTTCGTCTTTTGTCCTTGGAGAAGCAGCTCAATATCGAACTCAAGGTAGACGTAGTTTATCGAAAAGAAATGCAACGGACGAAAAATGAGATGCCAGCACGGACTCGCTATCTGTATTTAAAAGAAGGGTGCCGCGACCGAAATTGGCTACCAGTAATTATTCAGACGAAATTTTGAAACGTTGTGTTCGCATGTTTGAGTTCAGCGTTAAAAACTACATAAAGGTACAAAGTTTCAAAATTTTGTCTCGATAACTATTGGTATCTAGTTTTGGTCGCGGCGTCCTCCCTTTAATTATACGTCGGCGAACGAACTTATTGTCGATTCGACTCTGTCTTTCAACTTCAGTAATTTTCTGTGATTCGATTAGCAATGGAAACACGGCTTAACTCTGTTCGTCGTTGAACAAGCAAAGCTTTCTTGCATCAAAGTTGTAGATGTTACATCGACGATTGGGCTACCCCGTTCCGAGTGAGACGATAATACGTTGGCGCATACGCGGAGGTGCGAACTCCATTGTAGTTTCGTCGTTTCACTTGTTTGCATCCGTACGTGTACGCCGTAATATCCCACGGAATGACGAACGCGGTAGCTCCGCAATAATCGGTCCGCAATTCGCGTGCGATTACCCGAGAGACAGCAACAGCTCTTGTTCGTCCCTGGATGAGTCAGCAGTGAATCGTCGGTATTTTTCTTTCCACTAAAGATAGCTTCTCCGTTTCGTCACACGATGATTTAAACTAATCGAAGTAGCAAGCTTTGAACTTGCTTCGCGAGTTCACCCGTGACATCAATCCGACCGAATTCAATTAAACGAGCCCCTTCCCTTCGAAGTAACCTTCTCTTACCGTACGTATCGAACTTCGAAACTTATGGGAATCTATGTTCGTTTCTTCCATCGGTAAATCATTTTGATCGGTAAGAGAATTATCGTTTAACCCTTTCGGCACTACCGGTCGCCTATTAGCGGGATCCACGAGACGAGTATGATTACTTTCTATAGTATGCGTTAAAAAATTGTATGCGTTTTCGCATACGGTGCAAACCACTCTCGTGGAAAAGCTCCCCGTACCATGATTGTATAACCGCGGCGACCTCCTCCGTACCGAAAGGGTTAATCAAAGAAAAGGATTCCCAACGTTTCCACGAAGAGATCGAACAGCCGTTCGCCATCGATCCTGGCGCCGCGCCAGTTCGTACACGTCGACGAATTGTCGATAGTTAACGCGATCCGTATCGGGGCGAAATCGCATCTTTACGTCATATTGTGCGATACGTTTCAGCGCATAATCGGTTTAGCTATCGAGCTGGTGAATACCTACAATGTTTCCGAAACGCGTAGTCGTGTGCCAAGCATTGCCCGGTGAGCAGCAAAAATGCCGAAATTTTCCTTGAAAAAGGTGAATTCCCGTGGGATTAGCCATTCGAGATAGTTGTACATATTTTAGAAGTATTTTATTTGAGAAGTGAAACTTGACGACGAGTGTGACCCATACCCGGAACATTGTTCGGTTTCTAGAAATCGAATAAAATATCGAATTCGAGCTCGATTAAATATCCAGCGATTCAAATAACCTACGCCTATCGCTAACTGTTCGATTTCTGGTTCCTCCTGGAGGTATAACGGCAGTACAACGGTATCCTAAAAGTGTTAGTTCCTTGAATGGGGTGGTACGGGGGGTGATTTGAAACAACTTTTTCTTTAGTGAAAATGTCCGAGGCTTCGTTAAGGAGATATTAACGGAAAATCCCGACCAATCAGAGCGCGAGTAGAATAGAGTACGCGCTAGAGTTTTCTTTTAATATCTCCATAACGAAGCCTCGGACGACATTTTCGCAAAGGAAAAAGTTGTTTCAAATCACTCCCCGGACCACCCCATTCAAGGAACCAACATTTTCGGGACAACCTGTAGAGTGTAGCTAGAAAGGAAAGAGCAACGTTTCGTTTCCAAAGCAAAATTTCCCCAAAGCCAAGAAATTTTCCCATCTCTGGATATTTTTCCCTCCGCTGACAATTTGTTTTTTCTGTTCGCGCTGCAGGTGAAGCAGGGTGCCGAGAACATGATACAGAGCTTGACGAGCGGAAGGGACAAGAAGCTGCTGCAGGAGGCGCAACAAATGTTGGACGATTCTCGGGCGAAAATCGAGTACCTACGCATGCGGATAGTGAAAGTGCGGCAAGCGCGTCAACAGCAACACGCACGAGGCGACGCACCGCCACCGAATGGCGAGACAACTAGCAATAAAGGTAGAAAAGTTGGGAAGATTCGAGATTGCGCTCGAACCAAGCGAAAAGAGAGCAAATATGTCCGTATACAGAGTTCTCCGATCAGTTTTATTTCGAGTCTCGATTCGGTTTTAATTAGCAGCAGTACTTGTTCCGTTTAGTATCGTCGAAGAAAATGAAAATTACCAACGTTATCCCTCACCTGTACCTATACCTGAGCGGTTATTGCAGCTCAGCGCAGCATGGATCAGGAATTAGTCACTCGGAGAACATAATTATCGGCAATTAATGTCCCCCCGTCGCTATTTACCTCTGATACGTTGCCGTGATTCATGCCACGGCGCGTTCAGGTGCATTACGCTGCGGTAGCCGCTGAAATATAGACCACAGCCCGTTCGCGTGGTACTATAGCGATTCGATGGAAGTTACGGGAGGACATTTGGAAATATAGTAGCTTCCCCGAGGATGGACAATTTTTTCTCCCGCGGTCGTGTAGTTCTGTGCACGTTAATAATTCCCGCGTTAATGTTACCGGCGCGATAAAGGAACGTCTCGCCTCCGCGTAATTACCTTCTGCTTGCACTTTATGTTCGGCAGAAACTCATCGGGCGTCATTGAGAAGTAATGTCGCGAATAAATATTGGACTCTGTTTGCTCGAATTTACGAGATAATTGCGGCTAAAACGCAAAGACACGAACAAGTACGAGTAATCTTAGGTTTAGGATGAACTTTTTCGAGTTGGTTGAGTCGAGAAAATGTGTCTGATATTACGCAGGAAAATAGCTATCGTATTTTAATTGCAACTCTAGTCGTAGATAGTTGTTACAATAAGGATTACGTAGCTTCCAATTGTCACGGGTATCGGTCTGACAGTGAACGGGTTAAAAATAAAACGGGATAAGCTTACGCACAGACCCCATACGTATCATTCGGAACGTGGAAATACGTGGACGCTCCATATTGTACGAACGCATCTCTTCGACTGTAAAAATCTACCGTTATCGTTTTCCTCTCGCCTGCAATTGCTGCGCAAGCGACGAGGACACCGGCGGTCTCGCGTGACGTAAAAACAATCTCGCAATTTCGATGTAGATGCGAAACGATCCCAGTCGTATTTTAGTGTGTCATCTACGATCCAAGGTTCGTAATTCACCCCGTATCTCTATGTGCTTTCGATTCTTTTGCCCTGCGAAAGAAACCCTCTCCGGCCGATATGAAGCGACATTCTCGTCATCGCGTAAGCCATCGAATGGATAGAACGTGGCCTGTTTCGAAAGCAACGAGACTGCTCGCTTTGTAATTGATATTGGACAGGGCTCGACAATAGCGAGCGAGCTACCTCTATCTGCGAATTTAATCGAAGCATTTATGTACGTTTTAATCGGTTCTGTCGATGCAGCGTTGTCGAATAAAATGGACCCGACGAATATCGAGGAAAGACGCGACACAAAAACCTTTTGTAAACGTAGTCTCCGACCTTTTCGAAAAGGGATCTCGATCGGAGCGCGGTCGATAACGTCACCGATTCTGATTGCAGACAGGTACGAGCCTAGTCTGGAGCTCGCGCTGGAGGAAAGGGTGGAGGAGCTGAGACATCGCCTGCGAATCGAAGCTGCCGTCGTAGAAGGGGCTAAGAACGTGATACGTCTTCTACAAAGTGCCAAAGTCGCTGATAAGAAGGCCTTAACGGAGGTATGTTTCATTTCCTGCTCGATAAAGTCCGATATAACAGCTGACGTTCAATAATGGAAAGCTTCTATACTCGCGATGATGATACACGTCGAAACGGTGTCATTCATGCCGCATTATCAACGGACACGTATTGTGACCGTGTCACTATTGTGCGACGTACTCGAGCGCGTCTTTCACGCGGTGAAATTCATTGCTACCGTTTTATATCTAGAAAATCTCATTCCGAAGTCGATAACCGTAACGCGTCATTCGCTTCGATCGCGAAGACCATTCTTCGTTCGCGCGAGAAACCTTGGACGTGGGACGTTTAAACGTCCCCGCGTGTATATCGATGAATTCTATGCTCGCGGTATAGAATTAACTCAGAGTGTCACGTATCGATTTTTAATATTTAAGAAAGCGGGTGATTTTGTTGTCACGCTCATTTTACGAGTACGTGTAATGTACGTTACAAAGGTATGTTTAAGATATATGTAGAGTGATGTCACCCCATAAGCGGAACGTCGTATCTCACGATCAGATTCACGCACCGGGTGGGCAGAACGATATCGGTTCGTACGCGCGAGCGTCGTCGACGTCGAGCCGAGGCGACGCTGGCGTCCACGCACCGTTCTCGAAATAGCACCGTCTAATCCCCGCCACCCCGTTCGTCTTCTATGACGCCTTTTCGGGTCGCGCTTAGTTACCACCTCTCGAGGGGAGCTGGCACAACCCAGTCGTAAGCAACGCGATAAACCAACGACATGCGTGCCAATCAACCGCGAACGGACAGCTCGGGAAACGCGTGTGCCCGACCGGAGGACATCCCTGGTGACGTCCACGCTCAAGGATAATTCGCTCGACCGGAACTATGACCTGAATCTCCGAGACACCGACTCTCGATTCCGCCCAGAGTCGTTGACGTCCTCTTCGCTCCGAGGAGACCGACGTCCCTCTCGCCATCGAGAGTGCAACACCTGTGGATACGCTCGTGATCGTCGAACCAACGTTTCCGTGAAAATCATTGAATTTACTGAAACGGAAGCCGACGGACCAAAATAGAGGATGCTGCGCGTTCCAAGAGAAGATGGCCTTTTTGAGCTGCCGATAAGACAGGAGAATCGTGCATTTATTTAGACTGGTCGACCGAATAGTATTATTAATTTTTCGACGGTCGACGCGTGGGCGTCTGCCGGTAGAAGGAAACGCTGCCTCGTTCGAAGTATCATCTGGTTCCAGGTATATTTGGTCCCGACCGTGCATTGCTCCAAATTTATATTTGCGCTAATTATACCCCGGTCCGACGTATGGTTTGTCACCTCGCGTAGAGGCACGGGCGGCAGCAACGAGACACCGACGCTCGAAATTCGCTGATGCGCCCGCAATAAATGTAAATATTATGACTCGGCTTCACCGACCGACGTCGCGTGGAAAAAATACGAAAAAGGAAACGTGTCAGCGGTCCGGGGTATATTCGGGAATTCGGATCCGTGCACCGGGGGATCCGTTTTTACAATCTCGATACGTAATATCGACACGATACAAGGCGAAACCGCTCGAACACGGTAACGGGGGCTCTGAAAATAGATCACGAAGACGCAGTATCACGGAATTACCGTCTTTCTGTGAACAACTATGTATAACGGGCGAGTTCGTGAACCGCGCCACGAAAACTTTTACCGAACGTTCTATTTGATTTAGTCGAGGATCGTAGGAGAACGAATGAGAGAACAGAGAAAGGGAAGAGAAACGGAAAAGAGCGTCGCGTAAACTGAACGTAAAGGATGTTGCCGCGAACGAGAAGACGAACGTTTACTACTACGAGGAAAGGAAGGAAATAAAACAGCGAAGGAATTTGTCGAATCTAGGAGAGATTTAAAATAGTGGGTAGAGGAAAAGGAAGCCTGAAACTGGTAGCGAGAGAAAGATTCGAGCATGAAGCCTTAGAGAGTAAATCGATTAAATTATAGAAGACTTTTGAGGCAAGGACTTGGCTGCGTTTTCAAACAAAGCAAACTTAAAAGAACGATAAACTAATCGAATTTAGAGAAGGATAGCCAACGAGTTCCGGAGTGATTATCGAAGGAACCGACGTTGAATCCATGTGCCAGAGAACGAACGTCGCACGTCGTCCAATTCTCATCGCAACGGAGGTGAAAAGTTTGCCCGATCGACTAAACGCTCGGGCCGATCATGTTTTGCGGTGGATAACAGCGTGGAGAAGGCTGAAGAAAAAGACGCGACATGTACGGACGCCAGGACGACTCGAACAACGCGCAGCCACCGTGGTTGGTGCGCGCAGAGGTCACCATTCGCCATAGCTCTCCGACCACCTCCGAGTCCGGACAGACGCCTGTAGACGTATCGTCCACGGTGACGGATTCGGGAGGCGTTCGCATGATCTATCGATGGAACACCAGTCAGTCTCCGTCGACCCCTCCCACGCCTGTTCCGTCCCCTCCGCCGGGTTCGTACGGTTTCCAGCGAGGGAACATACTGTTCACGTCGACGCCACCTCCGAGACCACCTCCGGGACCACCTCCGGGATCGTTCACGTTCCCTAGGTCGGGATCGTCGGGGAACGACGAGTCCGGGTACAACAGCGAACGGTTCTCGCCGCACTCCTACTCGAGCTTACCCTCTCGCCGTCCGTCCCAGCAGTACAGTCGACGATGCAAGAGCACCTGCAGCATCTTCCTGTCCGCCGTCGACACCACGGACGGCTCCAAGAAAGACGCCGCCAGCAGAACAACCACGGAACCCGGCAAACATGCCTGCGATCACTCTTGGCGTCACCACTCGTCGCATCAGCACGTATTCTCGCGTCACCAGTTCAGCACCGTGCCGGAAGCGAGCGAGGAAGGGGCAGAGGAGACGTCCAGCCTGTTCGCCACGCAATTCAGTAGCAAGGACAAGGTTACCACCAAGACCACCATCAGCAAGGACGCCTCATCCCAAACCACGGATATAGAGTCCAAGGAATCCTCGGTGGCCTTCAGCAAGAGCAAAGTTAGGAGGAAAGCGGCTACCGGTCTCTATCATTTGGACGAGCAGAAGAAGAAGAAGAAGGTGAGTTGATTCTGTCGCTTGCCAGAAATACCTTTACTTTTACTAACAAACTGGGACACCCTGTATATTATCCCTTAACAAGATATTCATCATAATTTTACTCTATACTATAATTACCTCTTCGACATCCTCCGCAACTACCCCCAGATCGCTACAATTCCCCCGATTTCGTTTCAGCAAGAGAGTCAATCGCCAACAGCATCCGAGACCACGAGCATCGGACCTTCAGTCGAATCGGACAAGTCCGACTCCTCGACGAAGGACGACAGCGGGAAACGGAAGTCGCGCACCGTGCACATCGACGTGTACTGCACGGGCACCGAGGACGACGACGAGGACAACACGGATTCGTCCACCGAGAACGAATGCGACACCCCGTTGACCGTTTTCGAGAATCCAGATCTAAGAGTGACCCACACGGAAGCACCTGTCGATGCGCTACCACGAGGATTTCTGGACGACAAAGCTTTCCTGAAGCGCGCGACGGAACGACGATGCGACAGTTTCAAGCACCCACCGTTGAGGATGCCCTCGTTGACCAGCTCCAAGGGTTACGACAGCGACGACGTCCTCAGCTCCCTCTATCCTTCGCCCTTCAGCTCTTACAGCGCTCTTCGCGATCCCGATTCCGTGCCCTGGTCAGCGGCTTCCTCGAACGCCGGTGTCCCCTTTGACTACGACTCGGCGGTAGCCACTTCCTCGAAGGACACGTTCTCCGACATCGAGTCGCTGCTGAACACCGGCACGGGCCTGACTCCGTGCGACAGCTTCGAGTACGCCAGTTCCAGCGATCGCGAACGGATACGAAGAATGGAGGAGATCTGGTCCAAGTCGGAGACGGGGGGGAACAGGAGCTGGCGATCGCCGCAAATAGAACGCAGATACATGCTACGGAATAGGAAAATTAGGGACCGTCTAGAGAAGCACGAGGAGGGCTGGTCGTCGGCGGACAGCGGCGAGGACACCGACGAAAGCGGCACGGTCGGTTGGAGTTTCGTGTCCAGCGAGGAAAGTCAGATGATGGTTAAGAAAACCTCGACCGTTCGACGGTCGAGCAGAAGCACGGTCGAGTCTGTAGAAAGAAATGTAATAGAGGCGAAGGAAGCGGAACCTCTGCGGAGGGATTCACAGGTGGATCGGTCCGACTCTACGGCCAGGAGCGATCGTATTCCTCATTACGCTCTACGCGAACAAGTCGGACCTTTCGGTTCCAACAGCCCATCCCCTCGCCCTTCGAAAGTTCCGTCGCGCGTTACCTCGCCGTTCATGACCCCTCAGGGTGAGAGAACAGATCATATCATAAAGGCTTCGATATTCGGTGCGGTGGTGAACGCGTTTCGCAAACCAGGCCACCACGTAGGACCTGCCAAGAATCCGTCGTGTTCCTGCGAGCATTGCCGAAGACACTTCGAAGAACTGAACTCGCGGGAACGATCCAGCTCTATAAGCGAATTCGAGCGACAAACCGGCTTTCGGTTGCACACCGAGAGGAAAATCGTTCGTCCTATACCGAGAAACTGTAAATCGTGAGACGGTTTCCAAGGACCGCTTTAAATATCGTAGTATTCCTGCTTTGCGAGAGAATTGCGTTAAAATGAATTATCGTTGCGTAAGGTTGTGTTGTATAATACGTGACGCGTGTGTTTAAATTATATTTATTGATCATGATGCCATACGTATTCCATAATCGTAGTTTTCTTTTCTTTTTTATTTATGACAGGAATAAAATTCGCCGAAACATTCTGCTGACTGTCGAGCATTTATTTAAACTAGCGGATACACACGATTATTTATGCTGTTCATGCTGTTAATAAATATTGATTGTGATATTTATAGCGTTTTATTTGTTCTCTGCATCTACATAAATATGCGGCATTTCATTATGAACGTCAGCTGCGTCTACCTTTGTAAACACTCGCCCGATGCATCTTTCTATAATCGATTCTTAATTAATTTAGGCTCAGGCAAGCCTTGCAGAATCGAGTAGGAAACTGGACTTATTGAGATTATCCCTTGAACTTAGAAGGCAGGAGTTACCTCCTGACAGCGGCACAGCTGCTCAATTAAAGAGAGAATTAGCTAGCGTGCAATCGGCTAGCCCAGTTCCCGTGACTTACACGTCGCTGCAACCATTTCGTGGTCCGTTGGAAGGTAGGGCTACCGTGCCTGCTTCGGTATCCAGGTGTGCAGCTGTTACTGGACAGTTGGAGGTAAGAGATCAACTCTATGTAGATGTAACTGGATAGATTTCTTTGTCATCTGAATAATATGTCTCAACACGTGTAATCCTGACTCTAGGTTAGACTAATGGGATGCCAAGACTTGGCGGAAGAAATACCTGGGCGTACAAGAAGAGAGCACCCAGCGAGTCCAGATTTACGTAGTTTCGTCAAGGGAGTCACGGGACGTAGTTCGAGCAAATCGTACAGCGTTAAGGATGAAACGAGTAGTAAGTGTCCGTTCAAGAGGAGGGCATCATGAATCGAGATAAAGAAAATTTCGGTGAAACGTAAACACCGTCCGTAATCTTCGACGATGTACTAATCTTTGGATTTGTTGCAGATGATATTATGGCGGTTATTAAATTGGACAACCAAACAGTAGCGCAAACAAGTTGGCGACCGTGTTCCCAGCAGGCTTGGGATCAAAGGTACATTTTGATTGCATGCGTCTTATCGTAACACGCATACGCTCAGACTTAGAGATATTTTAAGTATGTCAATTCGCACTAATGTATCGTTTCCCTAGGTTTTCCATCGAACTAGATAAATCAAGGGAACTCGAAATAGGCATTTACTGGAAGGATTGGAGATCTCTTTGCGCCGTCAAGTTTCTACGTTTAGAGGAGTTCATCGACGACGTGAGACATGGAATGGCGCTTCAGTTAGAGCCGCAGGGCCTCCTTTTCGCCGAGATCAAATTCTTGAATCCCATGATTTCGAGAAAGCCTAAATTGCAACGGCAACGCAAGATTTTCAAGCAACAAGTGAAAAATTTCCCGAGAGCCAATCAAATGAACATTAACGTTGCTACATGGGGCCGACTTCTGAAACGATCAGCCCCTTCGTTACACAATACGAGAAATTCGGAAAGTCCGCCATCAGGTAGCTATATATTCTCTGTCGTGTCGCTAATAAATTAGTATACGAACGTGATGCTAGTTTCCGTGTTTCAGGACCGCAACCTTTGCAGCTAGTTTTCGATAGCTCGATGGAGGATAAGCCTGAGACACCTGGGGAATTGCCTGATCCAGATAAAGGGGGTTTGGGAGGGGCACGACCTCTGGGATTATCGGCCTCGAGTAGTAGTCCTACACTGCCACGTCCCCCGGAACATCCTCCACCCCCACCACCTACAGTCACCAAGAAGCTCTCATTGCCAGCACCGCCACCACCTCCGAAATTAGATCAAGAAGTAAGTTGTATCAAATTGTCGATATTTCTTACTTTAAAAGAAATTATAGTCACCGTTTAAATTATTGTATAATAGCTGTAAACAAGTACATTGTGGTTTTTTTTTTTTTTTTTTTTATCTTTTAACGATTTTTCAGTTATACATTTTGTCGCGAAAGTGTTAAAAAGTTTCCTAGTATTTTGTGTTACTCGAAAGGTTCAGGGTTTGGTACACTGGTTATGGGTCGAATCCATGTAGAATACATGCATTGAGTACATATTATATCCACTTGATTCCATATAATTTCTAACGTTTGTATATAGCGATACGTATTTGGCAAGGCATGATAGTACGTATTATATACTTTCACCTGCGCGACGTATATTAGTGATTCACACTTACCGCTTCGAAAGTACTACGAGTATACTATTTTTGTCTAGGTACTTTGGAAACTTTAGAATGCTATTTATAGTGTACGGCAAACTGCTAGATGCTTAAACGCGTACAAACTTTTATTTACATTTTTTTAAGTTCGGTTGTCACGATTTTTAATTCTTTTTGGCTTCTTTCATGCATAGCTGTCTCCGTAAAATGTGCAACGTTCTTTCGAATATAACAAACTCCCTTCGATAGTTTTAACGATTTATTCTTGAAATGTTGATATTAAATATCGAACTCGGTGAAGAGCAGTTCAAAGTACTGCAACTTAAGATAGTTTCTGGAGTTAAGCAGATAGTAATGTAGTTACAGAGTGCATTAAGGGAGTTTGATTTCCTGCACAACGAAGAAAAGGGGGGGTCTCAGGGTGCAAATTTGAGGCCTCTCGTTACAGAGCCTCGTCCCGTGCTGATCGCACCACCCTCTCCACGCACACCCTCGCCCCAACCCGTCGTCGAGTTTCCTGAAGACGAGGTAGATACCTCCTTTACACGCAGCTCTAATTTCTTTTATGTATCTTACTCCTTGTATTACTCACATATTAGAAATTATTTAAATCTACCGTAACTCGTTCTATCGAGATAACAAACTGTCGCTAATTTTACCACTTTAATAGGTCTTTTTTTTATATATATATATGTATAATGGTGCACATTACCCAAACTCTCGCATGCTCGTGTGTATCTATTTTGTACAAATGCTTTTAACACTGTATGTATATTGTGTAACGTCACACATATATATCTTGCTTCTAACATCGCAAAACACCTGTAGGTACACTGTCAACGATTACTAAGAATATTTGTACATACTGTGCAAATTCTAAGCGCAGGTGTAAACTTTACCCGACACGTACGCTAATAACGTACACATTGTATTAAAACTTAAGGTTTACTTCATCTTTCGTAACTACGGCTAACATATATCCGATGTGGATTAAATAACAACACTTAATACTATCAATTAATCCCTAAATAAGGAATGTTTATGTATATATGTACATTTGGATAAATGCGTGATTTTAAGAAAACTGTTTTCACGATTTTAGGTCGTGTACGAAATTCCGACTAAGCCTTCTCAATACAGGGACAGTGCCTACGAGTCCAGACGGCATTCGCAACTTACTGGAATGACTATAGATAATTTTAGGTTACTCTCTGTTCTTGGCCGTGGTCATTTCGGTAAAGTAATTCTGTCGCAGTACAGAAACACAGGAGAATATTTCGCGATCAAGGCGCTGAAGAAGGGGGACATAATAGCGAGAGACGAAGTGGAGTCGTTGCTCTCAGAGAAACGAATATTCGAAGTGGCCAACGCTACTCGTCATCCTTTCCTCGTGAACCTCTTTGCTTGTTTCCAAACCGAGGTACAAATCGTTGCAAACCACGTTCGAAGTTCACGCATTCTTCGAGGCATCTGAAAATAAAAGCATTGTTCCTCGTAGGCGCACGTGTGCTTCGTAATGGAGTACGCAGCTGGCGGTGATCTTATGATGCACATACACGCAGATGTTTTCGGAGAACCACGAGCTGTATTTTACTCGGCCTGCGTCGTCTTGGGATTGCAATACTTGCATGAGAGTCGAATTATCTACAGGTAAGCAAGCGAGGAATCCTATTAAAAACGAGACGATGTTAACGATTCTATTCACGTTTCAGAGATTTGAAATTAGACAATTTATTATTGGATACGGAGGGTTACGTAAAGATAGCAGATTTCGGCTTGTGTAAAGAAGGAATGGGATATGGAGATAGGACAGGAACTTTTTGCGGGACACCGGAATTCTTGGCACCCGAGGTTCTCACCGAAACCTCGTATACGCGTGCTGTGGATTGGTGGGGTCTCGGAGTATTAATATTTGAAATGCTCGTTGGCGAGGTAGGTTCGCTATAGTTCGATAAATGTACACCATAGATGTACGTGACACCTTTACATTAATTGATATTTATTTTGTTTAGTCACCATTCCCCGGTGACGACGAGGAAGAAGTATTCGATTCCATTGTAAACGATGAAGTTCGCTACCCGCGATTTCTTTCTTTGGAAGCAGTGGCAATAATGCGGAGGGTAAAAATCTTTATTACCTTTTCAATGTAATATCGCGATAAGCGTCATTCAAATAATGCTTATGATTTATATTTACTCTTAGTTGCTAAGGAAAAATCCCGATAGAAGATTGGGCAGCAGTGAAAGGGATGCCGAGGATGTTAAAAAACAAGCATTCTTCAGACATATAGCTTGGGATGATTTGCTCTTGAGACGCGTGAAACCACCGTTCGTTCCAGTAATCGTAAGTCTTTGTATTTTATTTCGTTTCCCTATTAATTAATACTATTTTTATAAGCATACGTTTCTACCCGTACATCGTATTTTTATTTTAGCGTTCTGTGGAAGATGTCAGTAATTTCGACGAAGAATTTACATCAGAGAAACCTCACCTAACTCCGCCTAAAGATCCTAGACCACTTAACGACTTAGAACAAGGTCTATTTAAAGATTTTACATACATGGCTGACTGGTGCTAGCCATAAATGATGATGTTGATCGTTCTTTTTTTTTTTTTTTTTTTTGTTCGTTAAATTTGATACGCAAATCATTTAGTATTCTATTTACTTTTTCAGACATCATTTTAGGGGCAATTGAATCGCAATCAGTAACATCGGTGATTATATATGTGTTTGTTTAATTGACAGAATATGTTCCACTTTTCGTAATGTTATGTATTGTACAGATGTTTTATTTTTAGTATCATGATATAATCGGATATAGAGAATTAAAAAAAAAAAGATAATTATGTTCTACCGTTGAATCTCAGGTTTTTAATTAATTTATGAATTCAGGCTTTTAACTCGTAGCTATACATTCAGATTTACATTTATCGCAATCATTTTCAATATACGATGTAAGAAACATTTGTAGTCATTCGAAATATTTTAAAGTGATATTCACGTTCAATCAACTGACGAGACAAGGATGGAAACATAAATAGTACACATACTTTTGTAGCACGTAGTATATTTTGATACGAACCCATTGCTGTTTGGGATCTAAATTTGTAAAGATTTCTACGCTTCGTAAGAAGTTCATCGATACTTGTAATTATGATTCTAAATACCGACCAAACGTATGAAATTACTTCTGTTTAAATCAAAGTATTATTTTACAATTTTCATCATACACGTACCATTCTTATGTATAATAATCACGTTTTCAACTACTTCAGATTTATATCCTCGTATAACGTCAAGGATAATCGCTGTATAAACATACGATAATTCATAAAGTGCAGAAAATAAATCAAAACGTAGTTGTATTTGCTCATGCTCATGTGATAGGGAATTGAACGAAGAAATGGCACTATGTACAACAATGTTAATCGATGTAACTACAGCTAACACTGGGCACTATCGTTACGTTAGTCACGCATACATTAACATTAACGCGATCAGAAGACGAGAACAGTTATTTACAATTAACTCGACATCAGATATTTAAGGAACATCCGAATATATCGACTTCCTTTTTATCGTACAAATTTCTCCAGGTTTGATTCCTATGAAATAATCCCTATTAATTCTACTGTATCATTTAGTTACATATTTTTACGTTTCCGGTATGTGATAGAATACTCGTGGTGTTCTAGTGCTATACTTTGTAAATATGTAACCAAACGTGAAAAAGTAATAATGCATAAGATCCATAAGTACAATAGTTCAGCTCGATATATTATACAGTACTATATCACAAGGGTAACACAAGTTCGTAGTAGCACACTATTAGTACTCATATTCACGTTTAATTATAGACATCACATTACAGTTTCCTTATATTTCACTTTTGTACGACGGTTTTCTAGACGATTACGAACACCTTGTACAATCATCATAAATATATGCATTACATCTTAGGTGTCGAAAAAGTTTTGTACTAACATCGTTTTAATGCCTTGTTAGGATTCTTGTCTTCTACATTCTGTAAATTTATCTAAAACAGTAAATCATAGAACGTATAATACTCTAGTTACTACTAAGAGTTGCAATGCATAACTACATCGGTGATTTCTTCGTTAATAACGTCGTCGAGTCATCAAATTCATTTCTAATGTAATTTTCTAAGACATTTGAAACCATGAATGGATAGTATGTTTTGTATAAAAGAATCTTTTGAATGAAACCTAACAAAGTATATAAATTGCTTTTATTTACGTAAATTCTAATTACATTTCGGCGAAAGGTATCGGTCTGAACAATTTACGGAAAATCGACAGTGGATTACGATATTTACAAATTGCAATGCTGTGATAATAAAATGGATGGGTTTCATTTGGTGTTTTCTTGCACTATGAATTCAATAGTTTAAAATTGAGATCGTCGTTTATCTTCTCAAGAAAAAAAAAAGTATTTAAAATTGTGAACCAGAAAGCTGATTGTGTCACGTGTGATAGTTTCGAGTACATCTCGAATTCTAGTTGCCTTAATGCACCAATAAATTATCATTTGGTAACTATTTTTTACCGAGACCATGTACATTGAAACGGATACCTACTTATACAGAGGTGCTCATGTAACACATTATTTGTAATGTGCCTGTTTTTTATATAATTCTCATATGTAGGTTTTAAAGTTTAGCCGAATAATTATAATATAACCTTAGTTAGAAGATACAGGAACATTAAAAACTGTAATTACACTTCGTTTATGTAAAGGACAAGAAAATATTGAATTAAAACAATGTCCTCTTTTTGTTCGTCAACCTTGACAGAAAATATGTTGTATCGGAATTCTCGTAAATTTCTGTTTATTTTTGTCTTTATATAATAAGTTACGTTACTTCTATGTGTCCAACTGCCAAACTACACGTTTACATAAAAAGGAATCGTTCTATGCTAAAACATATTTTCTTGTCGACGTATTAATTATATACTATGTTACATTTGAAACGTATGTATACTTATAAATATACAGTACATATACATATACGATACGGATACGAGAGAAAAAAAAATACTGTATTAACAATCGCGTACATAAGCGGCTTTTACAAGCGTGAAAATTATGTATACTGCAACTTTAAAAATGAAGTGTCGTTCGAAAACTGATGATTGAAAAATGTATATACAATACAAGTGTCGCCAATTTTTTTTTGTAGATAGATCTATTTTTAACACTCAAAGTAGAAACCTTGTTAGTATATACTTTCGTTACTTATTTTTATATATACAACATAATATAAGGCTACTAAGTTCTAACCCTAGGTAAAATGTTCGCTATATTTATCTTTATCTGATAGTAATGAAACAGCATGTGCCTCGTAGCGTTTACTAAATCACGTACGTAGTTAATATCCCTACATAAAGGATGCCTACAGAATGTCCTTAAGAAGTAATTTATTTAACATATACATTTGCAGTGGCAGCTTAATACATATCACTCCGAATAGTTAAGTAATTTTTAGCAGTACTTTTCGAGTATACAATATTTCAAACATATAAGTAATACCTACTTTGAATAATAAATATCTGAAAGCAATATGAAATGAAAGGGTATTCGATTTTTATTTATTTATGGAATTTCACAATAACAAAAATGACTCCTTTAAATGAAAATAATTTTATTTGATTGTTTGATAATTATTACAGTTGATTATTTCACAAGTTCGGTATCTTTATTGCTGGTCTCAGAATTCTCTGCATCCCTACTATTGCTTGCACCAGGTTTTATTTCTTTATCACTGTTCTCAGCATTTTTTGTACAATTACTATTGCTCATACCAGGTTTGGTATCTTCATTGTTGCTCTCTGTACTTAAAGACTTTGCTAGTTCATACAAGTGTGAAGTATTTTTTCTGATTTCTTTTTCCAATTGAGATTTCTTTTCTTCTTTCTCCTTCATTAACTTAGTTGCTTCTGGGGCCATAGGTTTCATGAGACCCTTAGTCACTTTATAAATAATACTGGTACCATCTTCAGACTTGAAAACAAATGTGACCCTGGTGCAAAGTGAGTGTATTTATTTATACAGTATAAAACACAATGTATACTTCATATTTCACAAATGATTCATCTCCTTGCCTTTCAGTAGTTAAACCTTGTTGTATTTCTTCTATTCTATTGAGGGATATGTTGTATAACGTTGGCCAAGGTATGTAAATCTCTATTTCTGAATTTTTCTTTCTCTTAACTTCCAAATACAATAAATCCAGACTTTCATTGTATTTGTAATTAACTTCCCAGTATCTCCTTGCTAACAATAGACATCGAGTTAAAGAATTATCCAGTTAAAAGTATTATTTCAATCTCGCTTTAATAATATTGGTTACCTTCACATAGTTCAATGTAAACATAAAACGTTGTACTTATCCTTATAGGATCAGTACATCCCAGTTTTCCAATATAATAATACTAAACATATTGAAGCACGCGATAAATATCAATTATGCTAATATTCTTATATTTTATGCAGTTTAATGATACTTCAATATAATCATACTTACGCTAGGATGACATACATCATACATTTTTTTAAGACTAATTTAACATTGTGCTAATACTAATAGGTTGTTTAGTTCGTGTATTACTTATTAAACAGCTGTTAAAAGGAATAATTTCTATCAATTACAAAACAATTTAATTTTGCACATATATATTCAAATACTCGGTTAATGGACACAAAATTGGTATCGCCATCTCGCGGCCAACAGGCCGAACTAATTATCCCATGGTGTGTGTGTGTGTGTGCGTGCGCGCGCGCGTGTGTGCGTGGCGCCATCTAGCAGCAGCAGTGGGAACTATTTTTACTATAAACTTGGGTGTTCTTCCACCGATGGCGCCACTGAACCTATACTAATTAGCATTAGTATCCCGCCAATTGAAAATCTACTGAGAACCACAGACTTCGATATCGTTAAAATAGTGACAAAATTCATATTTTATTGTGTCATAGTGTATAACAAGTAATGAAATGATAAATAACACGAAAACAAAACACGTATGTTTTTAGATAACTGACTGATAAGACTGACTAGCATGTAAAGCGCAATATTATAGGATAGACAAAAACAGACTGCGCAACTTATGTAGATATTTGTTATAGAATAGCTAGATTATTATAAGTAGTATATTTGATGAGAAACATGTAACGACTAATAATACAGGATACTATTTTTTCAGATTCCTTTTAGTAATAGGTAGTCAGAGAATAGAATCTAAACAAAGAGCAAAGAGTATTAGACAAATACTCTTGCACAACTATATTGTAATTGTAGTTGTACATGCCAAGCAAGGATACATTTTATTCGTGGGCCAATTAACGCATTAACAAGATAGCATCAGTATAATCTGGCGCTGTAATCTTGTTCCATTTGGAATCGATAATCTGCAGGTAAACGAGCTTCCAAGGAGCAGTGCCGCATGGTTCTATGGGACGTTGGATCTATTTCGCATCTCGTCCGTGGTTAAACGCGAAGAGAACGCAGGCGCGTACGCGATCAATAAATAGGGTAGCTCGGTCGAGGGCAGGAGAGCAGTGGCGTACGAACACGCGAGCAGTGCGGAGGGTGGTAACGCGTTTATTGTTGTGTCGGGTGAGGCGTACGAAAACAACAGAGCACCCCTCCCCGGCGGACGACGGTGTAAAACGGGCTGCCAGCGGTGAGGCTGCAGAGCAGGCCGCTCGTCCAGCATGCAACCACCACCGAGAAAAGTAAGCCCACGAGACCGACATCCGACCAGACACATGCCGTTTCTATACGTTCTCGAACCAAAATGACATCTCCTCTTTAGACATCGCATCCTTCGAAACTGTAACACTCGAACCATCTTTGATCTTTCCTCCATTATCCGTGCGCGATCACGACCACGTACCCTCGAGACGGGTCCCTCGGTAACTCTCGATAAATCTCATGGATTTCCGCTAACGAGAGGCCCAGCGATCCTTCCAGGACACCGAGGCAAGTTTTCTCGTTGGTCCGGGGACCAGATAACGTTAATCCAGTAGAAACGCGAGAGCCTTGAATGCATACGTCCGAGGAACTCCGAAGGGCTGGCGCTTCCTGTCCTCAGGACGATCGAGATACGCGAATCTCGCCACGAGTATCGATCTTCAGCGACGTCTCGCAGAAAAATTGACGTAAACGCCGCTCGAACGCTGCCACGATGAGAAAATCGATGCGCGCTTCGGGCCTTCGATGCGAATCTATACCAAAAGCTGACCTCAAAATACGAGAAACTGGCCGTAGACCCGGGTTAACGCCGCGATCGGATCGAACCAGCGAATCACCCGTGTCCTCCCATCGCCATACGGTCAACGGTTTCCCTTGCGAATCCTTCTTTCGCGATAAATTGAGACATCGTTCGTATTCTTCCGTGACACGTCCTTGCGTCTTCGAAATTTCCGAGCATCCTCGTTATGTAACTGCACGATGTGAACGCTGAAATCGATCTCGAATTTTGAATATAGGACGATTTTGGGGGCCATGTTTCTTCGCGATAATTCGCTAACTTTAACAAGAGAGAGAGAAGGAGGGGGGGGGGGAGCGAAGAACAGAAAAATTCGGTCACTGGAACGAACAAATTTTTCAATTTAAAGAACTACGAGTATATCTGCAAACGTAATGATAAACATCGAATTAATTTTTCTCGAATTAAAGAGCTAACTGATCCTCTCCAATGGTCTATATTGGTACAGCGAAATAGTGTTTACAGAGTGTGCCAATAACGATTTCTTGTCAACGTTAGATATGCATTTAGACTCATTAGTAGTCGGGTTGCAGGGAGCACTGTAGAGATGATCATTCGGCTTTAAACGAAATGCGATAACGCGAATAAAATTAAAACGGCTGTTCCGATACTCGTTATTTCTTTCCGCCCATAATTTGCCTGCATTTATAAAAATATATTAATTCCTTTGCGTTACGTTACTTGTACCTAGACTGCGGATGTTTATGCGTGTATAGCGAACCAAAATATTGATAATATAGTAGCGTTTAGAAGATAAAACGTAATTTAATTTAAGTCTCGATTCTTTACGTAAATCAACATATGAATTTTACTTACAATACTGTAGTATCCGTGCTTCCCGTACTTCGGACAACAATAAGGAGTCGAACCAGAACACAAAACGTAGAATACAAGATCGGTCGTGTAGTTTAAGCGGCCGGCTGTGGATCCGAGGATCGTGGGTTCGAATCCCCGGTGCCTGATTTTTCGTTTAACTCTTACAATACAGATAATAAATCCTTTTTAAGGGACTATACTAATACAGTAGATAAAAGATATCCCACTTAGTGGAAACGAATTGAATTGTTTTCGAAGCATATTGAGGGAAAAAAAATATATATGTTGAATTGAGTAAAACCACCTCCTTTGCGACTTTGTCTGCTGGTTGATCGCGCAAAGGAACGAACAATGCACGGATTATTTAGTCACACCTATTTCGTTAAGGGTAACATTTCCTGACCTATTTATCAAGCGACGGAACCAGCCCTTCGTCTCGCTTCCACGACAATGAAGTTTCGCAGTTAAAGATCGAGGCTTTCCTGACCCACTTCCCACTTGTCGAATGCTAGTCGAGCGATAAGAATTCAACGAGACACCGAGAGATCGAAAAGGGGAACGCGTTGAAACGAGCTTTTCGCGAGTTATGTTCGCTCTAAGGGTTGAAGATTATACTCCGTGATCCATATATGTTTTAGAAGAAAATTAGTTGCTATAACTAGCGATTACCATAGTTTAAAAACGTAAACCATTCGTTGAATAATAATTCTTATAATTTTAATCCTCCGTAATTTTCGACGACTCTTTTAAAGATGGCCTCTCTCGGCCTTTCCTTTCCTTGGCACCGTGAAAGCTCGTTACGCTCCGTGATCGATAAAGGATTTTTTTTCACTTTTCTTTTTTTTTTTCCTTCTTTTAGAGTAATAAACGTCTTTGTCACGGCCCTAGTTATAAATTTCCTTTATCCAGGAGCCTGAAATTCTTTACTGTAGCGTAGGCACTTTGTCGAGCGCGCCTCGCGCAGCTTAAAAGCTTGACCTTTCCGCCTCGCAGGGCCTGGCTCGAATTAAAGCGAGATTATTCCCCGAGTGGTATCAAATAAAATGTTTACTTTGGAGAACCATCGAGAATAAAAACGTTCGAAAATAACCCGGCTGGTTCTAATTTTTGCTTCTCACGAAATCGATAAACGATGTATTTATAAAATTGTATGTTTCACGATGTAAAAGAAAAAGAAAATACAGGGGGAAAATGTGAGGAAATTCAAGGTGTTACAACATTTTTGGGACACTCTGTACAATCGAAAAAGTATAAAAACATATCCGCACGCACACCCTCCCGCTGCTTGCATAGAAACAAACGACACGCGACACGACACCTTGCGAACCTGCCCGAAAAATGTCGAACACATCGATCAATCGATTATTCGACCGCTGCATTAACCAAACATAACCTTCATACATAGGTGAACGATAATCTCAAATTAGTTCCTAAACACAGATACCTCAGCCAAATTCGTAAACGTAAAAGTTTGAACGTCTTCGAGCATGGGAGGGGTATAACAGAGAGACGCGTTAAAAATTGTACACGCGTCAAAATCGTTGCGCCGAATACGAGCGAATCGAAGCGCACCAGAATGGTTTTCGCTGTTGTTCGATAATTCCGTTACCGCGTTAGCCGAGTCGTCGGTACGCGAATGAAAAAAGAGTAAAAAAAAAAAACAGGAAAGAAAAGCTTTGAAACATGGCATCGTAGTTGGCAACGACGATGGTAGTTTTTCCACGTTTAACGATCCGCCTAACAATACGCGACGCTGCTAGCGGGCGCGGGAGTGATTGCTTGCGTCTTTAGACCGTAGAGGCATTCAAAAATGCAACGCTAGACCTTCGAGGAGCAATCGATAAGAGAGCAGCTGAAATTTTAAACGATTTGACCAGCTGGGACCGTCCCACCGTATTAATCGTCAGTTAGTTAAATAGCTACGTTAATTAATACGGGAGAGTCGAAAGGGCGGCCGTTCCAAGCCCTAAACGATACAGGAACCAATCTCTACGCTATCCACCAACGAAGAGGAGGCTGACCTTATTCCTCGAAGGTGGATTCACGAGTCGAATCAACCTACGTGATATAATAGACCGCGGATGTTTATCCAAATTCATATTTTTACAGATTCAGACAGATAATCGAGATCGATTCCAGAATGCGAAAACGTACATCTATCGCTGCGTACGTTGCGCTGTTTAGCATAAAGAATTTACGAGTGAAGGGGTTAAGTAACGTTTGATACCTGTTCGTACGGTACTTAATGTCAATTGTTTTTCCCAGTCGTGGCGGTGACGTAATACGCGCCGATACTGAATCGGTATCACTCGTTTCGTTATCTTAAGAAGGGGGAGGGAGGGGGGGGGGGAGGCGTACTATCAGCTGTTTTTTAACAAGTCGAATTTGACATCTTTCGGTAGATTTTTCTCAGCTATGCCTCATCCGATCGTACCTAACCTTTTTTAGGTTGTTCTACAAACTCTAAACTACAAATCTTTTTTTATTTTTTTTTTTTTTAACCAAATACAATTTTGACAAACCGCATTCGCTGTCTTGTGGATAAAGCGGTCCTGCGCCAAACAAAAAAAAAA